TTAGCAAATAGACTGAAAGGGATACTGGATCAAGTCATTGGAGAGCAGCAAAGCGCTTTTGTTCCAGGGCGCTTCATAACAGATAATGCCCTAATTGGCTTTGAGTGCTTTCATGCAATGAAACAGAAGAGAAAGGCAAAGAAGGGATTCATGGCAGCAAAGCTGGATATCTCAAAAGCCTACGATAGAGTAGAATGGGATTTCCTTGAGGCAATGATGAGAAAACTGGGGTTTGCGGACAGGTGGGTCCGATTGATAATGCAGTGCATAACCACGGTTTCATATTCTATTTTGGTGAATGGACACCAATCTGAGGTTTTTACACCAGAACGAGGACTTAGGCAGGGGGATCCAATTTCCCCCTACCTGTTTCTACTTTGCGTTGAGGGTTTGTCAGCACTAACTACGAAAGCAGTGGAGGAAGGCAAGCTACATGGGATTAAAGTCTCCACTAGAGGGCCTAAGATCTCTCATCTGCTGTTTGCAGATGATAGTATCTTCTTTTTGAGGGCTACACCACAAGAATGTCATCAATTAAAAGACATTCTACGAGTTTATGAGTCCGAATCGGGACAAATGGTGAATATGCAAAAATCTGAGTTGATCTTTAGCCCCAGCGTGGCAGCAGAAAAAAGAAATGAGCTGGCTAGTGTTCTAAATATGAAGCAGGTGGAGAACTATGCCAAATATCTTGGCCTCCCCACGATAATTGGAAAGGAGAAGAGGGCTGTTTTTGAGACTCTGATCAATCGAGTGAGAAAGAAGATCAAGCATTGGAAGGGACTTACCCTCTCCATTGCGGCAAAAGAAATATTGATAAAAGCGGTGGCACAATCTCAGGTAACATACATGATGTCCATTTTCCTTGTACCAAATGGTGTATTGGCAGAAATAAGGAAAGCAATATCCAGCTTTTGGTGGGGACAGCAGAAAGAGGAACGTAGAATTCCTTGGAAGGCGTGGAAAGAAGTCTGCAGACCTAAAGAGGAGGGTGGAATGGGATTTCGGGAACTACATGCCTTCAATATCGCGTTACTGGGGAAACAAATCTGGAATTTGCATACCAATCCAGGATTAGGGATGGCAACAAAACCCGAACCCACGGGTACCCACCCGACCCAACCCGGTCAACGCGGGTAAAATCCGTGTTGACGGGTTTTGGGCCGGGTTTGGGTTTAAACCCGTTCACTATTTACCGGGTTGGGTTGGGTTTGGGTTTAGGTAAACCCGGCCCGTGGGTACCCGCCCACTCATATAATTAATTTTTTTCGGTATATTTAATATTCTAAACAACTATTCTTATTTATGTTTGTGGAGACATGTCTAATTTTTCTTTTTAATTGTGTAGAATGAAGTTGATGTTATGGAGTGGAGACTAAAGAAACTTAATTGAAAGAAAGAAGCTTTCAATTAAACATGTTATTTATGGATAATTTGTGATTTGCTTCAATTTTCTTGAGTTTTCTAGATTGGAGTTGAACAATTTGTATAGTTAATTTGTGATTTGCTTGAATTTTCTAGAATGGTGTTTTATATATGGATAATTTGTATTGAGAGATTGATATTTGACTTTAATTTTGATAAGAACTTGTAATTGTAAATTTTTTACGGCAAAACCCGTGGGTACCCATGAACCCGCGGATACCCAACGGGTTGGGTTGGGTTTGAGTTTTTCAAACCCGGTGGGTTTTACCCCGGGTTTTTTTCAAATATAAACCCATGGGTTTGGGTTTGGGTTTGACAAAACCCGACCCAACCCGACCCATTGCCATCCCTATCCAGGATCCCTAGTGGCAAGAATTTTGAAGGCAAAGTACTACCCGAATACAGATATTCTACAGGCAAAGTTAGGGGCAAATCCGAGTTACTCCTGGAGAAGCATACTAGCAGCTCAAGAGCTGGTTAACAGTGGCTCACGGTGGAGGGTAGGAAATGGTACAAGCGTTAAGATTTGGGGGGAAAAGTGGATTCCAGAGGCTGAAGAGAATGACTATAAAGCTACCACCCCTGAAGATGGCACGAGTGAGATTCAACATGTAGCTGACCTGATAGATCATGAGGACAGAACGTGGAGGCAAGATTTATTGCAGCTCCACTTCAATGCTGTAGACAGAGAGCGGATATCAGGAATACCTATCCCTATACAACCGGCGGAGGATATTAGAGTGTGGGGGTTGGAAAGATCAGGGACATATTCTGTAAAGACAGCCTATAAACTGATGTTAAAGAAGAGAGAATTGGTTCTAGGAACGGAAGTGCAGGAGGAAGCAGAAGGAGAAGAGGAATTGGCCCCAACATCAGAGGTGTATGAACCGATGAACTGGAAAAGACTGTGGCAACTGACTATTCCAGCTAAAGTGAAGATCTTTCTATGGCGGTTAGTCCACAATATTCTACCGACTGGGAAAAATATTGAGACTCGAATGAAAGAAGCTGCAACAGAATGCCCCTTTTGCCATACTGAAGAGACCCAAAACCACATATTTCGGGAATGTCAGTGGGTAATTAGAGTGTGGAGGCAAACATCTTTTAAACCACTCTTCGAATTGGAGCCAGGGGTATCGCCGAAGACCTGGATCTGCGAGATCATGGAACGAGTAGATGATGAACTGCTGGAGCAGTTTGCCATTTTCCTATGGATGATTTGGAGCGAGCGGAATAACCAAATGTTCAATCGAAAGAAAGCAGAGGAATGGGAAGTGATTGGGAAGGCCCTAAGCTACTGGGAGGAGTTCAGCGCACACCACAGACAGGAAAAGACAGAGAAAGAATCTGAAGAGGCTACCTGGAAACGACCGCCGACGGGCTGGGTGAAAATAAATGTTGACGCCGCGGTGCTGAAGGGAGAAGGGACAGGGCTGGGAATGATTATGCGCAACGAGAAAGGCGAATTTCTGCGAGCAGCGGTGCGGAGGGAGAGAAGATGCTGGCCGCCGGAGATTGCCGAGATTAAGACGGTGGAGCTCGGGCTGAAGCATCTGGAGAGCAGTGGATATCGCCAGGCGGTGGTGGAGACGGATTGCCAGCTGGTCGTACATGCACTCCGGCGAAAGTACCAAACAAGGCTGGAATCGGGCCCCCTAATATGTGAGCTACAGGCCAAAGCTGAGAGGTTGAGGCCCATTAGCTGGGAATTTGTGAAACGGGGTGGCAATGAATTGGCCCACACTATGGCGCACCTTAGGTGCAATTGGGATACAGAGGAAGTTTGTGACTCTAGGCCCCCAGTTGTTCTGTTAGATTGTTTGGATAAAGAGGCCCGAGCCTCTTAATAAACTATGCAGGTTTCCATAAAAAAAAAAAATCAATATCACTACAAGCTACATACATATTCAAATAAAATACGCCATTATAAATAAAATAAAAAAATCTCATATTTAAATACGTCAACATCCATACGTTTATTCTTAAATTCAAAAAATAACATCCACATTCATATTAAATACAATTCATCATCACAAACAAAATGATAAATCCTCATATTAAAATAAACAAAAATTAAAATAAATTCACCAAAACAACATCATTTTGTTTTGGAGCCGAAAATTGTCATCCGATCCGACCACATGTTTTTACCGATATTGACTACCACTTCATAATAGGATAAAAATTGGTTTTGGGTTATGAACTTGGTTTTACTTGCAATTATTGTTTTCATTCTCTGATTTTCAAATTGGTTTTGGTTGCGACCTTAATTTCTTTTACTTGAGCTATTGTTTTCGGTCTTTGAATATTTGCTCATCAAGCAGTTGTAAAATAGTTTCAAATTGAGATATCTTCATGTTTGATTAGTGGTTAACCGAATATAAGTTGTCAATGATCCGTTTAGAACTCAGCACTAGGATATTATCCAATCTTCTACTATACATGGTTGGAAGATATCATAATACTTATGGATACTATTTTTTTTTGTCGGAAAACGGGACGCTTAAAGGGCGCCCCAACTTTTCTGCATTAAAAATACTTATTGATACTATTGATTAGTAATCTATATTTGAGGAAATTATGATATTATAAAACTTAAAATATCCGGCCAACCGGCCGGGTCCAAGCTAGTAATTATAAATAGTATAATAATGACGCTCTCTTCACGCTCTGGATATCAAATTCTTCTAGAATAGACGCTCTCGCGCTCCCGCTCTCGCTCCCGCTCCCGCTCTCGCTTCGTGAACTGGTTACCTAAGTCCACATCAGCATGATATCAAAATGCTCTCTCTCCTGAAAAGTCTTTTATTTTTTCCCCTTTACTCTTTAACGGACGATTTCTCTCTCGTTTTAAGTCGAAATTTAATTTTTTTTTGCACAGATAAATAAGATTAAATGTGATCTTTAAAATGATATACACTTTGATATATTTTTAGTAAAAAAAAATTGAATAATTTTTTACCAGTAATTACCTTATGGTATGCTCCTATTTAATATCATACGGTAAGAAAGCTTACCATGATGGTATGAACATACCAATATGGTAAGAAGGTTGATTACATGATAGTAGAAGTATACTAACTATCATTTACGACTTTCATAATTGTTTACTACAAGTTACCACCCACATACCATAGTGGTAAAGTATGGTAATTTTTTATCCAGTATTTTTTTCACCCAGAAATTTATAGATCATGTAGATCATGATGAACTCGTTCTTTTTGACCAAACGTTTTCAAAAACGACTTAAAAACGAAGAAGTTACCATATGGTATGTAGTTGGTAAAAATAAAGTTTCTCGAAATATATTGAAAATTGATCTCATTTTGTAGAGCACAACGAATTCATTCCATCTGTGCAAAAAAAAAAATTGAAATCCGAGTTAGAACGAAGAAGATAAGAGCCGATTAAGAAAACTAGGAAAAATAAAATGTCTTTAATTGACAACTCTTAGATCTGAATTTTCTGGACCCACTTAGATCTAAAGGTCCAGATTTAGTTACTTGTAGGTCAGTAACCAATGGCTACTGAGTACTGACCCTATCATAAGCCAGGCCACACTGAACTTGAATGCAATGAACCAAGCACCCAACCCGTGGCACGTGTCGTTCTCGAATGCGAGGGCACTTCAGAACACTTGCCTCAAAACATGGGGAGGGAGATCAGAGAACGCGAAGGCAGCTCAAGATACTCTGCTTGTGAGAGCAAAGGCCAACTCTCTTGCTCAGCTGGGGAAGTACACTGGTGAAGGAGAGTCCGAAGAATCCAAGGAAGGGATGTTTGTCAAGGGTTATGTCTACTAATAAAATCCCCATATCTCTCTCGCTACCTTGTGTAGAGAACCACAGAAAGAAAGATGTGCATTGCTCGCTCTGTTGCTGTCTTTCTTTCCACTGTTATAATGACGATTTGACTGTGTAATGACGATTTGACTATGTAGACAGACTACTGATGTGCTGTTGCTATGAAATGGAGTTTTCATCTTCAAACCCACATGCTCGTCTGTCCATGATTTAATATATAATAGCACCTGCCGTGATCTAGATTGCTGTTCAACATATAGACGATAGTGGTACATAAATACAGAATTAGTTACAGATAAGCTCTATAAACTTGCCATCCTCAACAAAAACAAAGCATCTAAGCAACTTGAGGTTGAGGGAAGTTTGTGAAACCGTGCTGAAACATTACATACGTGGATCTTTAGAAAAAAGAGAGGATTTTTAGTAGTCTGTTGTTTGTTAATTACATTGTCATATGGTTCCTGCTATCACCAGACACGCACTCGGACAACCACAAGTCCATGTGTTCAATGATCTTCTGCCTTACTTTCTGCACTACCTCAGGGGACGTGCAATTCTGGGCGTTTCCTGAAATAAACGGGCAAAACAAAAATCAATCAATGATCAAGTTATTTAGATTCATTGAATGGAAAAAGGCAGTTGCGTTGGAGGGGGTTAGTGACAATGTTTATTGCATACCTTCTAGGCAGAGAGGAGACTGAGGACACCCTCTCATATCAGTCCCGTGGCCGCAGTTGTGGCAAGTGATCAAGTATGAGGGCACTAGAAATTAGTAAAGGGTCAGTCATGTTCACTTCACACAAACATATGAAAACATCAGCGATAAGAACAAGAGCTTTATGATAGCTGAGAGAAACAGGGGGACAGTCTATATTTGAAGTTTCATATTTGCATTGTATGTACTTACTGGTTGAGGAAGAAATCTGTTTGGATGCATGGCGCCAGGGATCTTGTGAGCCATTTGTAAACACAATCTTTGAACCTGCATTATGCAACAAGCCATACATGAATGTATTGGCATCAATCGAGAAGATGGAAAGAACAGCCCTTGATGGGTCGTTTGAGTTAACAATATTGGAAATGGGGGGAACAAGAAATCAAATTACTCATATAGTCATATTAACAAGTGATTTTATTCAACTATGAAACTATCCATACCAACCATCTAATATTTTGGTAAAGGTCTAATAATTTCATTCCACTTCATATTCCTTCATGGAAAGTTGGAAACATTCCCCAAGCGATCAGCAAAGCAATGGTAACTATCATTCCATAAGTCTGATCGATAACAGCAAAATTGCCTAGTTAAGTACTTCAAGTAGCATTATTAGGTAATTAATTCAAAAGGGAAGGGATTGAGCATGCACCTGCAATCTTTGTTCCCCCATAGTATATGTTTGTCATGTCAACCTCGGGATAGACGCCTTCTCCAAAAACGTTCTTGCAAAGGTCCAAATGGTATCTGAGACATTATCATCCAGTAAATGATTATCCAGTTGGGATCAAGAATGAAGAAGGAACCTAGATCTACGAACTCTTGATGAACAATAAACTTTATTACAAACGAAGAGAGATGCTTATCTTGTCTAACATAGAAAACAAAAAACTTGCCTCGTGTCAACTCTTGAAGAACGAATGCTGTCATTTGCTGGAGCCACTTGAAAGTAGGCAACTTCAGAACAAACTTGAAACCACCACAACCGGTCCGCAGAATTTTCAGTAATAGCGGTGACTTTCAAATATTCTTGATCATAAGTTTCAACACTGGAAAACTTCTCATTCACATACTTGGCATACACAGCCTGCCATTCAATGTTCATCAATCAAATAGGATACATATAATGATATAAAGCAACTAGAGACCTAGCTATGCCCTCAGTGATTTAAATTGTGTTGATGCATGCAAAGTCTACAGTATATCAAGGTCCCCAATAAAGGTGACTTTTACCAGCAAATCTTCTCCATCCTTCTTTGCTTGAACAAGTGGATTGCAAAGTTCATCTGGAGAGCCATATTGAAACTGCAATGATGGAACACGAAAGTTTTTTAGTTTTAATGCAGGGAGAGTCTAATGTGAAACTAAAGGAGATAAACTAACCGCCATAACTGCAGCATCAGCTAGAAAGTAAAGGAAATCACCATCAACTTTAAGCTGCAAACACCAGGGCAGAAAAGGGGGAAAAGGAAACAGTAAAATTTTCAGCACCCAACAATGAGTATAAGTATAGTCAATGTTCAATCTTGCTTTGCCCGACTTGGGTCTGACAAAGTTTTTGTTTGGGAGGCCATAAACAAACCTCAGTTGCACCAAATAGTGATTTCACAGCTTTCGTGTTTGATGCAAGCCCTTGATCAACAAGACTGGTAACTTCTTGTAGGGCAGCTTTACATTCAGGACCAGCTGACACACCAATCTGCATAAGATGTGTAGCTAATGCTTCAGTTTCTGTTATAAAAGGGTAAAAAACCAAGGGTGAAAGTAAAAGCACTTGAAGGTATGTTCTACAGAATCAATATAGAGATCATTCATAAGTGATCAAGCAAATATTTACTTTACCTGCTGGTCAAATTCAGTAAAGTTGTAGACAGCAAGAACAACTGCTGAACTAGCAAGACTTCCACATGTTAGATGTGGGAACTTGAGACGAAACCAAGCACTAAGAGCCCCTGCATATGAAACACCAAAGATGAACCATGGATTTTCCCCACTTGTTCTGTTCAGCTTCGCATTTAGTGAATCCTGTAACGTATTAAAAGACAAAAGTATGTTACCCTCAACAAAAGAGTATGCTGATTTTGTTCAGCCTTTTCTTTTTTTAACCATGAAATGATCTTCAGCAGACGGCCAAACGTAATTGCCTAATCACTTGCCTGATAATGTTGTCTGAAAACAGCTAGGTCAAAGAGTGCCTGCTTGGATGAAAGGTATCTCAAATTCTTCGTTTCTAACGACTTAAAGGGCGAACTTTTCCCATAGTATCTGTGTTCAAGTGAAACAACAGCAGCTCCAAACTTTTTTGCCAAAACCTGCATAGATTGACAAGGTTTTAGATTATCTTTTCCACAAGGGCACATCAATCTGAAACATACAGCTGCTGCATTCAGTCAGCAAAGTTGCAGCCAAGTTTCGGCGAAGAAGAACATACACCCTGACTCAGTTAGGTTCTTATAAAGGCAGACACAGACTTACACCAAGATAGTCGTTTGATATCCCAGTGCATGGACCTTCCCCACAAATTTTCAGAAAGATAGGCCCACTTGGAGCTCTGAAGTAGTCAAGGAACTCATAATAGCGCTGCTGAAACTTTCGGTGATCCTGCAAAATGCACAAATCAGTCCAAGCCCTGTCAACACTCTAGTCCCAACTAAACAATGAATTTCAAAAGGCAGCTGATGAGTAAATCAATCTTCAGCCAATCCAACTATAATACATATAAAAACGTGATAATCTCCAGCTCAATAGGGGTAAGTCATTCCGCATGAGGAACCGAAACCCAGAAACAAATTCGCCTACTGTTGTTATAGCCTCAGCCACACAAGACCGAAACTTCAAGACTTGGAAGAGAAATGATCGAGGGTCGAACCAAACCATAAATCAAAGAAGTAGAAATAGAGTCAGGGAGAAGTGGGTTTGTTACATATGGAGAGAAATGATCGAGAATCTGACTAAACCATAGTTCCTCCGAAGTCAAGAACTTCCCGGCGGTGGTTCCCGTGAGGCGGTGGCGGTGAGCTAAGGCACGAGTTTCCAGGAAGCCGTAAGAGACTGTCGACAGCACCAACAGCGACGCAGCCAACAACAAAGGCGACTTCATAGTATGATGCTTCTTCTTCTTCTTCTTCTTCTTCTTCTTCTTCTTCTTCAGTGATCCTTTCGCACACTTCTCAGATTCTGGTTTCTCTGTACTGTGTTTCGCCGAATGGCGGATATTTCCTCACGATTGACGAGAAATTCTAATGCGTCCGTCGTTGAAGTAGAAAAAGAAATAATCTACCGTTCCAGAAAAGACTATGCGTCCTAGCAAAGCTATGGTTTTTTGGTTTTCCCATTTTCTTTGGATAGCTGTATATATTCGTGTATAAATTAATTTTGACCCCGGATGTATTTTGATGCGGGATTTTGTCACAGTCCTAGACTAGAAGTTTGGTTTTCCCGTTTGAGAGTAACCCACAAATTGAATCAAACCGCATATTTTGTGAATAATCATACCCACTATTGGATGTAATTAACAAAATAAAAATATTAATTTTTATAGTTAGTGAGACATCAGTTACTAGGAATGATAATGGGGCAGGTCCGGAGCGGGTATCTCGATTTCATACCTGCGCCCATGGCAGGTCGGGTAATTTCTTAAGGGGCGCGGGTCGGGGCAGGTCGACCCAATGAGTATGTAATTTATGTGAAAAACATTAGAAATATTTATTATTTTCATTAAAAGACCAAGAAAGAAATCATAATATGATAAAATCTAGTTAAATTATTCAAGAAATTGAGGTTTTCACTTAATTGCAACTTTATTATAGCTAAAATATAATATAATAAGAGGAAAATTCTAAGTAATTTGACTAAGATTATATGTAATTTAGGCAAAAACGGGTCGAGAATGGGGCGGGTCAGTGCGGGTCGATGAGAGGTACCCATGCCATCCCTATCAGTTACCCTACAAAACCATCTTTTGTAAAATAAAATAAAAACCTACAAAACCACAATAACCACAGTAATTCAATTTATTTATTAATAATAATGTTATAATGTGTGAAAAGTAGAACGCTAAAAATTAAAGTAGCCACCAAAGCAAATACACACTTATTTTATAAAACAAAGTCAAGTCAATATACACGGTTCGTATAGGTGTCAAAATAGAACCCGATCCGACTAACCCGGCCGACTAACTCGAGTTGACTAAAAGTCAATGACTCGTAACTCGTCGGACATGCAACCCGATTGATCTGTAACCCGACAAGCCCGCAACCCGATTAATCCGAACCTGATTGACCCGCAATTTGATTAAACCCGAAACATGATTGGCCGAACTCGACTAACCTGTGACCCGCCAGATTGACCCGAATAATTTCTACAATATATATTATATTGTCTTTCAAAATGAAGTTTGTTTGTTGTAACTTGTAAGTGTAAGTAAAACTATTTTTTAATTTTATAAAGGAAAGTTAAAAAAAAGAAACTAAGTTGAAAATATGTATGTTTAATAAAAGAAAGAAGGGAAAGTTTGGTGCTTTTGATTAATGATAAGAGAAAGAAGTGGGAAATTGTGTGTTTTCAATTTTTTGAGAATAAAAAGAAGAGAGAAATTTGGTACTTAAATTTTTGGGAAAAGAAAGAAGGGGATTTTTGGTGCTTAGGTTTATAGGAAGAGAAAGAAACGAAAAAATTTGGCGTTTTCAACTTTTTTGGGGGAAAAAAGTAATTTGGTGCATCAAATATTGGAAAATGAAAATGAAGTAGGTTTATTACTTTTGATTTATAGAAAGAGAAAGATGTATGAAACTTTTATGTTTTTTATTTATGAAAAGAAAAATCAGATAGAAATTTTGTGTTTTCATTTTTCTATGGAAGAAAAAAACGAGAGAAAACTTATTACAAGTTATCAAATTAATATTACTAACAAAATTGTTAACTAGAAGTTAACATTTGACTAATTATTAATAATTCAATAGGTTTGATTAATAAAAAAAGAATGTGTGAAAAAATTGACTAATAATTATTAGTGTTAACTCTTTAATTAATTATCAACTGCAAATGAGCCGAAGCCAATGTTTCTGCAGCTGCAGCTCAACCTCACGCTTGACTCGATAGACAACACCTCAACTCAAGCTCGAATCATGCTCACTACGAGCTAGATAATTATAGCTCTTGCTCAGCTCACCAAAAGTATTTGAAGCTCAGACCCGACTGGAACTCAACTCAATATTAGCACTTGGACGAGCTGAACAAGCCCAGCTTAACTCAATTAAGCTCAACTTAAAATTAGGCTCTACTACGAGGAGTTCCAAAAATAATGGCCCAAATCAAATTGAGCTTTACAATGGACTCCATGACCTTGATCTCTAGGACTTCATTTAATTTATAGCTTCCTTGAGAATGGATTCTTTGTTCACAAACGATGTAGTATAAAAATTCACTAAGACAACACAACATTGCAGCAGCCAGCGCCAAGCAGCAAGCATGTTTAAGTTTGGAACTGAGAAATAGATAAATGTGCAATTACAATTCACAAGTAATGGAATGAATATGAACTGAACTAAGAGCTTTTACAGCCTGTTTGGATACAATTTCGGAAGAAATGGAAATGGAAATGGAATTCAATTTTCTATTTTTATAGAATTCCATTTCCAATTCTAGTGTTTGGTATAATTCCTACAACTATGGAAATGAATTGCACTTTTAACCATAATGAATAATGTAATATGTTTGTTTTATTTTGGGAAATGAAATATGAATGAGAGAGAAAGAGAGTAAAATGATAGTGGGTCAACAAAATAACAAAAAGTATTGATGGGTCCCACTAATTCCATCTTCATTCTCTCAATTCCTATCACTTTTGATAGGAATTGTAATTCCCATATTTTAGACCCATTGGAATTCAATTCTCAACCTTTTTATTATTCCAAACATAATATATGGAATTGGAATTGGAAATGGAATTCCAATTCCTTACTTTTTTGTCAATCCAAACAGGCTGTTAATGGAAGGGAGAGAGGATTTGATTGACAAATCTGTGCCTTTTCTTTTATGTTTTTTTACCAATGGAAAGATAGAAAGATTTGCAGCAGCTAACGTTAAGCCAGACAAGCTCAAACTATGAGGGCAGCTCACATCTTGCTTTTGTGTGCTTTTGGTTCGTCTTTGTCAGCAGCAGCTCCCAGTTACAGTACCATAAGCTTGCTATTTGGAGCAGCAGCTTGGGACGAAGGCTTCTTTTGTACAAAACTGAAGGACTTGAAATGAATGCTAGGAGCTCTTAATGTACAAAGCCTCGTTTAGAATGGTATTTTCTTTCTATTTCATGTTATGGTTGTGCTCAACATTTGTGCATCAATCACTCGTATTTTCTTTTGTTTGTGAAATTTCATCGGAGCTTAAAGCCTATATGTTATCAAGTAACTCATGTTTGATTAGCGATATCCAAAGTACATATGTTATAAGTAACTCATGTTATAATTCATGTACAAAACGAATATTTAGTCATGACTCATGATATTGAATGTCTCAAGTCACATTAGTGTAACACCTACGAGATATATCACACATACCACTATAAGAGTTATGTAATGAGCATTAAGCAAGTTAGGTTGTGAGCCACACCATCCAGTTTACTAATAAGTATATATACGAGATAGAAAGAAATTGGTTAAAAATTGTGAAAAATATTTTAAATTAGTGTAATAAAATTTGTAAATTGGTAGCGACTAGCGAATATGTAACTCGATGCGCTGACCCGAACAACCCGCAACCCGATCCGCCCGCAACCCGCCCGAACCGAAGCCCGATGAACCCTCAACCCAGTTTGCTCGCAACCTGATTGAACCCAAACCCGACGAACCCGAACCCAGGTAACCCACAACCTGATTGAACCCAACCCGATAAACACACAACCCAACGAACCTGCAACTCCACTAACCCGCAACCCAATTGAACCCAACCCGAACCCGCCCGATTGACACCTATGTGTGATATTTTTATCAATTGAACATGGATTTCGTGGTATATGTTTATTTTATAAAACAAAACCAAGTCAATAAAAGTAGTCCGATAAATTAATCGATTCATTAAAAGGAGAGAATAATCGATAAACTCATCTCGAATTCTCCACAAACTGACGAACAACACAACAACCAGATTCCAGTAGTAAAACACTAAATTGAGAGTAAAAAATAATTGATCATTAAAAGCGGGCGCCTACACTTATAGAACCACTTTCTTGTTTACTCGCTATTGTCGCCGAAGGTGCCTCGACATGCAATGATGTCCATATGGTAATAGGTCGTCCACCTCTCTGTTCACTTCAAATCTCTTTTCAAATTCATCTATTTCGAATTTTACACCCACTAACCTATTGTATTCCGAATTTATAGTTTATTTAACACTTTATTAAATTTCTTTTATGTATGTTTTTGTGCGAGAAAAAACACTATCAATATTTAATTATTATATTACTATATTCAATAATGAAATTTTTGTTGGTATCCACAATCAAACAACACTTGATAATGGTTAACCACTACCAACTATGGTGCAGGTTGCGGGTAGCATAGCTCTATATTTGTAGGTTGGGGTGGGGGGGGGGGGGGTTAACCACACCCACCCAAATTTCCACCCATAGTCCTATATTCAAGAAGACTCCAATGAATTCAAATCAGGTAACTCACAAAGTTGGATACTAAGATTGCTAAAACGTTTTATGTTTCGTCACTAAACTATTTTATTTCATTTCATTTGTGATCACTAAGACTAGTTCAATGCTCTAACTTTGATCATTCTACGTCAGTCGTCATTAACGACGTAAGTTTTATGCTGACATGGCAAGCAGAATCGCCTCATCGGCATTTCTTAACCTGAAAAAATTTATACCTGACGCGTCACGTAACTAAAACCTGTCATATCCTATAAACCCAACAACCTATGACCGCACCCACCACACTTCCAAAATTCCACCTCACTTCCAACCCACTTCACTACCACGAGAAACCCATCGTCACTAGGTGTGATTACTCTAGCTAGCCTCTTCCTCTCCCCGCCTTGGCTCATCTCCTTTGATTGCAGCCTCCTCTATCTCAGCAAGTTTCGGCTCTCCGTCTTCAGCTCCTCTGTCGCGTCGTCTCAGACCTCACTGATTACGAGACGAAAACAGAGTACCCTATTTATGTATAAACACACACACACACGAAATTGAAACAAGAGGGAAAGTAAACAAATGTCAGAAATACAACATGAAATTCTCTCATTGGTAAAAATCCAGATCTGCCGCTCTCCGCTTCCGACGATATG